TGACGAGCTCCATCTGCCCGGGGGGCTGGGAATCGAACCCGGGTCGCAGCGGTGAGAGTGCTGCACCCTAACCACTAGACCACCAGGGGCCCCAAGCTGATATGATAGGAAGAATTTTAATACCACCAATGTCAAGCTGTGTAACACTTATAGTTTATTTTTGTTTCAACTTTTTAGTTTGGATTTCCTAAAGTAAGGAGACTGCAGTGATGTTCTTTACCTTTACCTCTTCCATTTCTCTTCCCCATATATCAGTCAAAAAAAAAATACCACTGGGGATCCAGGGAAAAATTACATTTCTGAAAATTGTATTTGAGTAATCCTGTGTGGGAACAAAATATAAAAGTACCCTCAGCTCTGAAGAAGAGCCTGCCACGTGATCATATTCCTTGTTCCTTATTGGGAAATCTTACGTAGGAGTGGAATCATAGAAGTGACTCTGGGGAAGAACTTTGATCAGAATTTTTACCCTATTGTGGCATGGATCAATCAAGCATAAAACTTATTCATGGGAAAATCAGTATCTTTTATTCTGGTATTACTAAAATTTTATTTACTTATTCTGGTTTTTAATCTGAGGAGTCTATGATTTTTAACACAGATTGAAATTCTGTAGGATGTTTTCAAATCAAGATAACTTCTTGTCAGAATGTCTGAACATCTGACTGCTCTGAGCGTGCTGTCCTTTGGACAGCGTGTTATGCAAAGGCAGTCATCCTGGACTTTAGCTGCAGTCTCTGAGATGCATAATTAGTCCTCCATCATTTCAGTATTCTTTTTATTTTTTGGCGATGATTTCTTCTTTCCTGTCTTCTGTCTGTTTTTGGGCAGTTAAATACGGCAAGCGTAGATCGTGGACCTTTCTACTCTCTTCTGCCTAATGTCTCCTAATGCTGCATCTATTGCAAGAAAAAAGATAAAGTATGCAAGTCGGAAAATTATTGCTGAGAAATATGTAGTACAGGAATGAGAAAAATTAAGGAAATTACTGGAAAGAAAATCCAAAAAACATGAAGTTATTCTCATACAAGGTCTTCATTCAAAACAAAGTAAATAACTAATGGTTTGAAAAGGAGTGAGAAAAAAATACTGAAAGATTTCAGATAGAAATTTTTTTATAAGTAGTCTAGACTGTCTGACTGTGGTTTTTTTTCTGAGGAGTGAGAGTTGTCTTGTATGAAACAATTCTTTCTCATGGAGAGAGATGAAAAATCTTCCCTCTCAGTTTTCCCGTTCTCTTTCCTAGACCTTTTGCACGTGTTTTGATACAGATTTCTGGTGGAAGACACAAGCAAAAGCTTTGTGTATCATTTGCCTTGTTAAAAGTCCTCAGTTGGCCTAGGAAAAGGTGTCCTGGAACAATATCCAGGAGGTAATGCATTCTGTACCCTTTTAGTTATCTACTGTTGTGTGAGGGATCCAGATTGAGTAAAATTTTGTACAGCATAGAGGAGTGGTTTAAGAGAATGTATGCTTACTGGATAATGACCTGCTTTTGTTTCCTTTTCTGTCCTTATTTGTGTTGAAAGCTTAACAATTCAGGGCTCAGACTCTGAAGGTAATACAAGATATTGTAGGAAGTAATAGTGTTTTTTTGGTCACCTATTCACCCTTTGATTAGAGCTTTTTTTTTGTCCTTCAAGACCTAGGCAATTTCTTAAATAAATTGTGAGAAGAATGTTAACTTTACACAGTCAAGTTGGAAACTGTAGGATGCTATTTAAAAATATGGTATTTCTGTAGGTGATATAGTCAATAATCTTGTGGATTTGCTGACTGTCAGTAACATGGCTGGAGGCTTCAGAAACCAAAAATCCAGCATACGATATCAAAAAGCTTGGAATTATTTACCTCACAGGGCTAGAGTGGGAAAGACACTTCTAAACTTAGGAAAACTGAACAGAACAGTGGGATACATAGCAAAATTGAAAATTGTCCCTTCCACAAACCACGTGGTGTATACCTTGACAGCAGAGCACACTGGTGTATCGCTGAAGCCTAGAGCCAAAGGCATAAGTGGGAAGCTCTTGCAATGCTGAGGTTTACAGGATTTGTGTAGGTCAGAAGTGATAAGATCTGGCGTGGCAGAAGGGAAAGGGGGGGAGATTGGGTTGTTTCAGTCAGTGGACACAGCAGCAGCGACTCCTTGGGGCGGTGATTCCCAGGCCATCCAGCAGTGTAGGCCCAGCAGTCACTGCTGATTCCTTTTCTTCCACAGCTGAAACTCAGAATGACGCAGTATCCCAAGCACCCCACACAGCCCCAGTATGACTGGCCATGTGATGAACCAGCATGCAGCTCAAGGTCCATGTTAGATTCCTCAACACAGCATGAGTCCAAAAATCATTGTAAATGAAAGTTAGGAGATGTAGAATTAATTTTTTTCCTTTTAAGTCTAGAAGGAAATTCTTAAACTGATTTATGCTTTAACGGTTTTGGAAATAATTTAAGTTCAGCAAGTATTTTTTGAAAATAACTGGGTTTTATGCCTTACTTAAATAAGTGCCTGCTTACCCAAGCCATGCATTCGTTTCCTTTGCGCACTGGCAGTAGTACTCTGTAGATTTCCAAGGCAAAAGCTGAGATAAAGTAAGAACTGTATAAAACAATGAATTTTTTCTGCTGCCTTGGTGGGCTGCGCCTGCTGAGTTGGTTACTGAATCAGATATACACAACACTGTTGCACAGGAATCAAAGTATCACATAATCAGTTAGGTTGGAAAAGACCTCTGAGATCCTGGAGTCTAATGGACAGGAAGGCATATATGGAAAAAAGTGGAGGGTGATATTGCAACTGGTCTGATTTAAACTGGCTCAGTGTAGCTGTAGCCTAAGTTTAAGAGCTAAATTCCTGAAGCTAAACCAGTTTAGTATGATCTACTGTGGAATGGAGCAGCTGTGTTTCTCTTGTCCCCTTCCAGCACTGCTCTTCCTGTTTGCCCTGTATGAGGACTTCATGTCTCTCTTGGCATGCTTTCATGTTGTATCCAAGCTAATCTAAGTGGCTCATTGTCTAATCTAGTCTGGTAATTCCTATGTTAATTTGAAATACGTAGAGAGTAATATGACAAAACTGCAGGACATTTTCAGATGTGCAGTGAGCCCCGTCAAAATGTATGCTTTTAAACTGTTTGTCTAAGTTTGCTAATGCAGTAATGTAACAGGCTTGAGGAATTTGAAGATAGACAAATTAAAGCTTGTGAGCAGGAATGTATGGGGTAGGATGGGGTGGAGGTGGAGCAAGCCTGTAGGAAAGTCCCACCCTATAGGGGAGACTTAGTGGACAAGAGACAAAACACACATGGATTGTCTCCTCATTCTGAATATTCTTTCTTACTTGTGTCTAGGACTGAGCAGTACCTTTCCCCACAGACTGCACACCTTACCTGTAGGGCAGCACAGTTCAAGAACTGTTTTTTGGGGAAGAATGTGTTACAGAAATTTGGATCTTTCCTTCATTAAAATGATACACAATAATATCTTCATTAAAATTCTTTGCTACCAGAACAGCAGAAATTGTAATCCACTGGGTCATCAACTTACCAATACCTTTATTGTAGGTTTCTGGAATCTCCATATTTTCTGATACTGTCCTGTGAAGGAAAATAGTTTTAAGGAAAGTTGCTTTCATGAACTTTAAACTATTAAAGATGCTGGAGTGACTAAAGTATAAAACAAAGTATGAACTTTTCCTAAGACTTTTTTGGCTTTCCCTTTGGAAGTCAAAACCAAATGATCAGCCTAGGTGAGGAATAAAAAGGGCATAGTAATAATATATTCTAAACCGGTAATACTTTGTGCATGGTCAGCTGGCTTTTCTTAAGTCAGATAAGTGACATCTGGAAACAGATCTCTTACCTTCATTTTTTCTGCAGAGGAAGTATTTAGAAGATAGATTATTCTAATTTGGTAAAGGTTGGTGTGTTGCTTTAGGCATCTGGGTTTCCAGGGTGGGCCTCAAATTTGTGATACAAGTCAGTATTTTGTTTAGGTTTTTCATCTGCAGAATGTGATTTTGTTTTGTATAATCTGTTCTTCATTTCTTATTTAGTTTAAACTGATAACAAATAGTTGTGATCTTTGATTTTTTTTCTCACACTGGATTAGATAGCAGTGGAAGTAAACATGGAGGAATCGGGATAATTGAA